TGTTATGTTCTGGTTGATTGTGATTGGCTTTTTTTGGAGGGGGGGTGGAGATTGTTTCTGAGACTGGAGTAAGCATACGTGATTTGGAGCCTTGAAGAATAGCTACTAAAATCGTTAGATGGTCAGTAATCCCCAGTTAAATTTTTAGTTTTATTTTTTGTTTTTATGTTGTTTTTTTTAAAAAAAACTTCTATTCTTGTAGAGTAGGGGCAGGCTTGGTGGTTTGGCTTTATACCTGGACTCAGCACTACATTACAAATGTTCACACTCTTAATTCCCTTTTCCCTCTTGGAAAAATACACTCAAGGCACTAAGGCAGCATTTAGATTTAGTGTACTTTTGCAATCTATTCAAGTTCTATAACATGGGTGTCAAACTTGATCTTAACACATGATGTATCGTGATGTATCATGACGTTTTTTGCCTTTGCGGAGCCAGAGTGGGCATGGCCAGCGCTTGACACCTCTGTTCTATAACAATACAACAATGTCACTTGTGGCAGTAAACAAAATATACTGTCACCAAATTGTTTGGCTTTGCTTATGTTATCACATTAATTATTTGGATAATTAATAATGAAGTTTTAGAAAGAGTTTGATTTGTTAAATAGCATTTCAGATTGTGTTAAGCAGAAGTCACCCATCACTAAGCTCAAACCATCTGGAGATCTGTAAGTCTTCTGAATTACTCAGTCTATCACCATTTTAAACATATTTTTCATTCACAATCTTCATTGTGACTCATGTTCTATTTTTGTAATGTATATACCATATTTGTGTACATACTGTCCTTTTAAACAACACAGTTTGGCATAGATTTGATTGTTTCTATGTAGAAGCTGTCTAAAATATTTAGATGCTGGTTCCTTAAAAATTTCTTGTGCACATTGTCAGGGAAAACTTGTTAAAGAGAAACAAGAGACAATCACACCACAAAACTCTCACTTTTACGATCCAAAGGTTTTATTAGAATTTAGAACATACATTTAATCCTTACATTCAATATCCCATTGAAATGAGGGCCAACCATACAAGCAGTCCCATATAACAGCTTGTGACCCATTGGCCCCGACCCCTCCTTAGTTCCAATCTTTTATACCTGAAATCATTTCCTTATGACAACCCTATGACATGCCCATGACACTTGGGGTCATAACAGTTACTGACACAACATTAAGTGAATGACCACAAGGATTAAGAGAAAGATACTTACAGTAGCACTAATAGGCACAGGTTTGTTTATAATTATAGTAATGGAACAATTTAGGACTGCAGGCATGATGAATGTTGATTTATTGAATTAGTGAGAAGGAGATATTGCTGAATCATTAAGAGGCCAACAATCTACCCAATTGCATGATGTAGTTTACCATGTGCATCCTGGCAGAGGAAATATAATTACAAGAGATTTAAGATTATACATTTGATGGGGCTCCATCAAAAGGATTTAATGGTATGTATTCTAGCATAAAAGCTTTCAAGAGCAGGGGGAAAAACTTAAATCTGGTTATAACATGCATCAGTTCTTGCTGAGATCATAGATTTAAATATCACATGTTTTGTCAAGATGAAGTCGCTTTCTGATTTCAACATTTGGATTATCCTCATTTCTCTAGATAAAAGACTGAATTAATGCTACTCAATATAGTGCTAGACTGATAAATTTCATGATATGTGCGGACATTAATCTATTAATGGCTGTATAATTTCATAAATGAAAGATTATATGACAAGTTAAGAATTATTGAAGGCACCAAATGCACTCATTTTTCAGCTGAAACAGCTACAGATTGTCAGTTGTATTTAACTACTGTATAAAAATGGGAACATCTTTTTCTACCATGTTGCCATGAAGTTGTCTTCATCTTCTCCCCAGCCAATGGTGAGACAGGCTTAAATTGTCCTTAACTGTACCCATAATGGAAGTATTTTCCCCCTGAAATGCAGTTGCAACATGTGGCAGTTGCATGATGTAAAAAATCCGACATGTCACTGCTCATGCTGGGTGACTTGTAGAGTTTGGATTTAGCTGGACACATATTAGACATTTCAGGCTGATACAGGCATGCCTTCTTCTTTAATTCCCAGACTCCCACCTCAATTATTCTGATTCTTGACTTTGCAGAAGCATAGAAGATAGATCTCCCACTTCTGCAAAATAGTGGAGGGTTCTGATATTTCATTCATGTGATTTTACTCTGAGTGCAGAAACAGCAATGGGAGCTTCTATTGCTTCTGCTGCCATATAAAGTGGACTTGTGCAATTGTATAACAGTGCCAAAGTCATGCTCATTTACCATATTTTTATACATTTGCACAAAGATTGCATGTGATTGACTCTGCGAACCTGTGCTCTTCTCAGGTCCCTTTTTTGTCAGAGAAAAGGCTCAGGAGCTTCTAGTCATCAGACACTATTCTCTTTACATATTGTGTTATACATTGCATTATACTGATGAATGTATTCTTGGAGGTGTGAAAAGCCACAGAGGTGGCCTTGCAAAGACTATGTGGAAACATAAATTATGTTTGAAGCCTGGGAAATGAAGAAAACACTAGAAACTCAAAGAGGGAAGTGAAAGTGCAGACAAGCTTTCAATATGTTTTTTGTTACAGCCTGTATCAATAAAATTCTTACCATTCTTGAGGAGTCCATTTCCTGGCTTGGCCTTCCTTAAAGGGTTATTATCAGCCATTTCCAGCAAGAGAAAAGAAGAAAACCTGGAGAAAACAGCCAATCACATTACTTAGCATGCCCTTCAAAGGCATTATAAGATACCACCAGAAGCAGCAGAATTAGGATAAGGACTTGAATAGAACTAACAAATGTTACTATAGGGTTTTCTACTGACATAAGGATGAATGGCTACTACTTCATCTCAGCTGCAGAGAAAAGCCCATAGCCAGAATCTACAATCTAATTTGACATGTATTCCTGTAAACATCATTTTGACATGCATTCCTGTAAACATCATATTAATAGGTCAATAGGATGTAAAATATCATAGTCGCATACTTATTCATTAAAAGACTTTGCTTTAATCCAGGCCTACACAACATGTAGAAGTGAAGTGCCATACTGATAAAAATAATTGTGAGCCACAAAGAATCACTGACCTACCAATTGGCTGTTTTGCAGCTATGGAACTATCAGCATCAATGGGTTTTTATTAATCTGCCTCAGCCCTAAGATATCTGGCTGGATCAGTCCAATTCATCTGAACTCATCTTTCTTATAACTCTAAGAACTCATCCAGTTTGGGGTAAGCTCAGATCTGCTGATTTCTTCCCACAAAGGAATGAGTAAATTGTTTCCATGGAAGGGGAAATCTCCATCCCTGGGAATTGTCACTGAGGTTTGTTTGCTGGAATGAGATTACCAAGAGCACATCAAAGCCAACCTGACACTTGGCTACAATTTGCAAAGAAAAGGCTGGTCCAGCTATCTATGTGAGCTGTCCTGGTACATTTCACCCACAGGGGAAGGACAAGCTGAAATGAAAGAACAAGCATAGAATGACCATAAGAAGGATGCAAGACCTGAGATCCAGGACTACAAAATAATCTTCCTAGTTGGAATTCTTTAGAGGCATATCAATCCCACATTACAACTCTACTTATGATCCTTTATCATTCATTCTGGGAGAAGTATGAATCAGCTGCTGAGGACTGGGAGTAGAGATACATGTCTTGGTGCTCTCTGAGCTATATTGCAGGAATCCAGAATTCAGAAAAAGAGAAAGAATCGCCACCCAAAAAGACTTTCCCAGCATCTAGCTTCCATATATATGAGAAATAGCATAGGAAATCTTGACTTCAAATCTCTCATATCACATAACATTCTTAACTCTTCTAGACCCTGCCCAGGTTAGGGAGAGTGATTAATGAATGCTTTTTTTCCCTGATAGCTGGTGACATTTGTAGGGAGTAGAAACAAAGCAAATCACTTTTCTTAACTTGTCATGTAATAAATCTGTAGGGTAGTACAACTCCCTGGCCTTGTTACTGAGGAGAAAAGGGCATACTTTCTGCCACTTGAAGATTGGAGGTAAGAATTTTATCGTGGCCAGAAGAAAGAATCCTTAGATGATCAAAACTGATAGTTTGATGTTATATACTAGATGCAATTTTCTTGACCATGTTATTTAACAACTTGTATTGTCTGCAAAGAAAATTATTCAAAAATCTGTATTTTATAGTTCCAGTTTTGATTATTGAAATCATCAGCCATTAGAAAAGTTCTGGATTCCCTCCTTCCTATAGACTTGTATGGCAGATTTCCATTTTGTATGGCAGGTTTACATTTTGAAAGGACTTCAAAATTTAGTCTACCTACTGTTGAAAAGAATACAGTATTTGTTTTTCATATTTGAACCCATATATTTTCAGAAAAGATGGCCTGATGCAATATACAACTTTAAGTGGTAATAGCAATAGCAATTAGACTTATATACTGCTTCACAGTGCTTTACAGCTCTCTCTAAGTGCTTTACAGAGTCAGCATATTGCCCCCCAAAATCTGGGTCCTCATTTTACCAGCCTCAGAAGAATGAAAAGCTAAATCAACCTTGAGCCGATCAGGATCGAATTTCTGGCAGTTGGCAGAGCTAGCCTGCAATACTGCATTCTAACCACTGCACCATCACAACTCAGTAATAATAAAATTATTATTTAATAGAAACAAAAATAAATAACAATAAAACCTTATGTCACATTGTTAAAACAACCACTGATACCTGATAACACATACAATTCAGGAAGGAAATGCTAGCTTATAAAAATAAGTTTCTAAATTATTATTTAAAATGATGAGAGAGGACAAAGATCATAATGGGAAGAAAATCAATTGTACTGGGGCTCCAGATCTAGTTGATTCCAATTGGGACTCCTTCTTGGGCAGCATTTTCAGCAAACACTCGGTGAGTGGACAAGACGAGTAGAACATAAAGTCACATATTTAGCAAGTTTAATATTAATCAATCCCTGGTTTTGCTCCAAATACAGACCCTTAATATTGTTACTCCTCGAGTACGTCCAGAAGATTGCAGCATTGGGCTTTTGCCAAGGAATCATGATAAGAATCGCTGCATGGATGTACTTCCTTTGGATCGGTGCCTCCCCTTTCTTATTTCTGTTGATGGAGAATCAAGCAACTATATTAATGCTGCACTCATGGATGTAAGTAAAGCTCTTTTTTTAAAAAAAAAGTGAAATGAAATAAAACTGAATAACTTGGAGCACTATTATCTTTCTATCACATTTGTATCCCTGCTTCTTCCAAAGAACTGAAAAAGGTATAAATACATTGCATCTCACTTTTATGCTGTTGGATCAGTTGGGCTGACAAAGAGTGATTGCCATTGCTGGAAGGGAATTTGAGATCAAAATTACAAAATAAAATATGAAAGAATTATCAAGCTTTTTTCAAAGTGAAAATTTAGAAATTGGGTAAGGATTGACTTTATGACTGCATATGTAAAAATGAATTTAAATGAAAACAATCAGATTCTATCAATTTTAGCTGATAATGACCTGTTTCAGTGTAATATTCCTTTCATTCTATGAACGATCACTTTTAAGAGCATGATATGTAGTTAACTTATGATATCTCCCATAAGCTAACTACAAAATGACACATCATAAGGGATGGGGAATGACTCTGATATGTATTTTTTTGTATAATATATATTTATTCTAGATTCAGTGTCTGTAGTCAGCTGTTTGTGTTACAATTGTTACAGTATAAATCTTTGAATCTGACTTTGAAAGAAATAAATCCAAAATGTAATCCCATATTTTTCCTTCTTTCTCTTCTTTGTTATTTAACATACACTCAGTTACGATTACAAATGAGCACTTTTGCTATAAAATCTAAGCTTCGCATGTTTCACAATTTAAATAAATAAATACCTTCAGCTGCAGCATGTAATCTTGTCAGAGTGACTCACAGGCATTGTGATAGCAAGTATGCATGCATCTGTTATCTAACCATTGAGTGCACAGGGCCTTTACTGCTTCACTAAGCAAAAGCTGTTTTTTTTAAACAAATCTTCTGTGTCTAACTTTGAGCAGCTGCCAGCAATAAAACTGTTGGGGGTGTTTTTGTTTTTGTTTATCTTTACAAATATTCCACATAGAAACAAATTCCACAGTAAATGCTGAAGTGTTTCTCATGCTACGTGCCTTCTTTCTGACCTACCTTGATTTCAGATGTGGCTTGCATTTATAAGTGCCTAACTCTGTAGCCATATATGTTGTATCATATATTCAGGACACACCAACATGATGATTTCATTGCTATAAAATCTCTAATTGTAAAAAAAAAACTTTAAAAAAAACCAATCAGTCATACATAGCTATATCTCCAAGTCTTATTCTGTCCCTTAAATAAACAAAAATATTACATTATTTTAAAACATAGTCTTCTTTTCTTTAAAATCATCCCCAGGCAGGATAAATACCATTACAAGTAAAGCTTTTTTTTTTCAATTGTAATGTTTCAGAATTAGCTAAAGAGTTTTAAATTTACTCACTGTATATTGATACTATTTTTGGGCCTATAATTGGGTCAATCTTCCTTAACTCCTGTTTATATATGGGTACAGTGGAAATTTCTATCCTGTTTGGATACAGCCAATATTATTCATGTAAGATAATCCCACCAGCAGTGAGGCCCACCAATTAATGTACTTTTTCTAGGATTTTCTGTCTAAGAGATAAAATTATCTGAAATTCAGACTCAACTTCCTTTAGGATAAATGTGCTGCTTCTATCAATCACTAATACAATTAACTAAATTAAATGTAAATATGAGTTTGAGTTGACTCAACTCTTGTGAGTGCATCCATTCAGTTTTCTTGGCAATATTATGGCAGTAGTTTTCCATTTGCCTTCTGCTTCTTGTTTTTGTTTTATTCTCCTATCTAGCCAGCAGCTCTGAAATTCCCAGCTTGATTTCCCACCTAAGCATTAACATCTACCCAAAATAAATGCTAAGGGAAAATATGTCTGAAACATAATTGATACATCCCAACTTTTGGAGATTTTTTTGGGTACCAGTAGTATGAAGCTAATCCCTTGAAAAGGAAGAAATAGTTGTTTAGGTTGAGGGTAGCAGAACTTGTTGTGTCAACTTAATTTATCAGATTCCAGCTTTCCCATTGTAGATTTCCTTAGGAAAAGTCTTGTTTCCAGCTGGCACGTTGAGTCATTTATTCTAATTGTTATGCAAACGGAATAATTCTTGTTCCTATGCTTCTTCCCTAATGAAATAAAACCTTATTATGCAGGCTGTTTTCTATACAATGGGGTGGCAAAAACAGAGTATGTGGTGTGATTTGTATAATCTGTTTATGTTAATCTGTTTGCTATCCTTAGGCTCCCTAGTGTAATATGCTTCTCAATAAACAATAACAGGTTTTTGTCACTAATGTGAATCCTTCTACTCCATTGTTTTTTTCTTCCTTTAGAGCCACAAGCAACCTGCTGCCTTTATAGTTACTCAGCATCCGTTGCCCAACACTGGAGCTGATTTCTGGAGGCTTGTGTTTGATTACAACTGTTCTTCTGTTGTGATGCTGAATGAAATGGATGCTGCTCAAGTAGGTGGATTGCTTAAGAAATAAGTATGTATGGATCAAGCATTTTTAGTTACTATTGGACCCATGTTAAATACATTGGATAAATGCATTAATTTGATTAGTTTGGTCAGCTCTGTTAATAATTCCCATCATTAAACAAGAATTTAGGTTAGTGAGATGCAAAGGTGAACAGTAATTTGCAAAATTGGGACTGAGGATCAA